AATTTATTAGTTGGTGTAACCGATCAGACATGAACAGTCTAACCAATAAAAATGGAACAATTTACGCATTCAACCGTAACTTTACGGAAATCCATAAAACTTACCTTATAAAAAAAGGAAAAGTAATAGTCATATTTTAAATCAGTAACGTTATACAAGATATTAGTATCGCTGTCGTTAAATATAATAAACTTTATTAAAATATGTATTTATTTACAAAATATTCATTTGTTTTATTAAACCGGGGTACTATATGTACAATATCTTGTATTGCTTCTATATCAATAAAGTTATAGATTTCCGTAATTTCTAGTAAGGGACACCCATAAAGATGTGGTTGATTTTAAAATTTGAAGTCATACCACTGAATTAATGCGAGATTTAATGGAATATTTTGATTCTTAAGTTCTATTTTCGCTATTAATAAAACCTTAATTTAAAAAATCATTTTTAAATTAGCAATATTATATAAATATGTAGTATCAAATCAATTAAAAAATTACATGCCCGTAACAAATGCCTTGATCAGAAGCGTAATCAAATAATTCATCAGAATTCATACAAACAGACACATTACTATACCAAGGTCTGCCATAATAACTGTTAGTAGCACGCATTATTGCACCATTTTCTATTATAACTGATCTGTATATTGTCACTTGGCTTTCATTTGCAATACTTTAGTGATCCATATACAGATTTAAACATTCCAAAAAATTGTCAAATCCAGATCTCATTTTGTGGTCTATATTAGCCTGTTCTACAAAAAAATCATGGGCATCTTTTAATAGAAATTCGAAAAGTATTGCTGTAAATTTAAATATATGAGGGATAGTAGCTGAATTTGGTAATCAATGGGTTATATTTGTTATTGATTGTCGCCGAATCTATAAAAATTAATTTTTTTTAGAAATTTAACATAGTATTGTGTATTTTATATAAATAATACTTGCTATTTTCATTATTTGAACTTCAATATTTTTTTTATTACTTAATCGGTAGGGATTCTTAACGTATTCTTTGTGAAGGCTTTCGTAAGTCTCCGTAGTGTATCCATTAACTGCACCAAATGATCGAATCGAATCAATTATATGATATGCCCACAAATGCAGTTTTGGTAATTTTAACTCCGAGAGGGACATACATTGGAGAATTTTTATGAACATTTGAGACCAATTGTTTATAGATTCCTGAAATTATAATTTTAAGTATTAGTGGACAGCGTTATTTTATAATAATTATGTAGTACATACCCTAAATTTGGCCAAATCACTTTCTTTGAAATTTTCATATCGACTAATTGCATACATTTCATTCCAAGCTTCGTAAAGTTTTGCCAGATCTTCATTCTTTACAAAATTTTCATCATCCTCATTATTTACAAAAAAATTGTCAACTACAAAAACCATTACTTTCAACAGATTGCGATACTCATTAGCTGTTAATCTGGCTATTGATTGTATGCCATTTGTAAAGATTTTCAAACTGGGAAATCTTGGTATTGCGGCTAATCGATGATCTACTTTATCAACTAAAGTTTTGCCACATTGCGCCCCTAAAAGTTTTTTCGTATAATCGATTTGATAATGAAAGAGGCCTAAATCGAGATGATGCATTCTATCAGGCACTGTGGCTTGATAGATATTTATATTACTTAATATAAATTAATAAAAATAAACTCATGTTAGTGTAATGCTTGTAATGCTTACGTGATTTGG